GTGTGTGTGTGTGTGTGTGTGTGTGTGTGTGTGTGATGTGTGTGGCACTCTGAGGGCACGAAGGGCATGAGACACGAGGACACTGTGTTTGAGCGCATGTGCCTATGTTCCTCCTAAATGGCAGTGGGCATTGGAGGGCTTTGCTGGGGACTAGGCTACCCTCATCACCATGCTCCCCCAACCCAGATGTCCGCCGAGCCTGCCGCAGCTTCCGCCACTTGGATCAATGTGAGCAGCAGATCGGGCCTCAGGAAACAAAGTTCCAGCTGCTCAATAGTGCTCATGAGCCCCTCTTTCACTGCAACTGCACACGCCGGTGAGGCCTGCTTGGACCCTTGGGGGGTGGGAAGCCTGCTGCCAGTCACTAAGAGGGGGCTGCTGGGTGGCCAAGCACTACCCTAGCCTACTCCTGCCTCTGCCCTCAGCCTGGCACGCTTCCTGAGGCTCCACAGCCCACCTGCAGGCACCAGCGTACTTTGGGAGCTGCTAGGCACAACCTGTTTCAAGCTGACCCCTCCACTGGACTGTGCTGAGGGCACAGGGTAAGTCATGGCAAAGCCAGGAGGGAGGGGACATTTTCCCAAGGGGTGGGTTGCCTGTGGGGATGGGGATGTGTGCCAAGACTAAGGGGATGGAGAAAGGGGTTAGGGCACCTCTGAGCTCCATTTTCATCATACCCTACTCCCTGGTGCTCCAGGTTCAGCTCTGCAGTTGGTTCATATGGGTTGATGTTGATTCTTTCACTTCCTGTGTGACGTTGCAAGTTGAGTCACCTCTCCTTGTCTCCATTTTCTTATTTGTAAAATGGATGTAGAAGCCAAGGAAATGGCGTGTGTGACACATATAGCCCAAGGCCTGCCTGACACACAGTAAAAGGCTTACTTGCTTAACTCTTGCTTTTAACCTAAAATCTCATTTCAATTCTGATTCCCAGAGAAAGCTGCTTGTTACCTTTCCCTTTTCACAGGTGAGGAAACCGAGGTCCAGATTGGCCCGGGTTTCTGCAGCCAGCTAGCAGCAGAACTGGGGCCTCTGGGTGCTAGCCCAGGTTTATTCTGCCCCCTTCTAGATGTAACCCACCCTTCCCTGGCGCCAGCCCTGCTCCTCTCTAGGCCTCGGTCCCCCTGTCTGCAGAGCAGAGTGGGATCCTTGGCAGCCATGACCACCTGCCCCACTTTTCTCCGTTCACAGCTGTTTCAGAGACCCTAGGGCCATCAAGGTGTCAGCTCGGCACTTGCAGCGACTTCAGCAGAGGCGACTCCAGCTCTGGGGTGTGACCACAGATGAGGGGCAGGTATGGCCTTCAAATCACCCAAGAGCCCCCATGTCATTCTATGACCGGTGTCTGCAGCTGACCCAGGCAGCCTGGAGACCTGACAGGCAGCAGAAATCCTAGAACCACTGACCTCAGTTCCAGCTCTCCTGGGCACCAAACTGGACCTTGCTCCTGGCTCTGCTAGGCCCTGGGGGTCTTGGCCTACTCTCCATGTGTTAGATTGAAGCATAGCACAGGCCCTTGTGGACAGCCAGGAGGCTGGATGGGGGGAAGAGGGAGCAAGGCTGAAATGCTGGACCACGCCTCCTGCTGTGCTGAGCAATCTTGAGCTGGTGATACAACCCCTCTGTGCTTGGATGTGGTGTTCAAGAGGCTCATTCTGGGGAATGGGGAAAGGGTAACCTACTACAGCAGCCTCAGGAGGTACTAGTAAGAGGTACATGTATCTTCAGGTCGCAAAATTAATACGTGTCTCAAGACCCTGCTCAGAGGAACCCCAGCACCTATCTGCTGAGGCCTGAGACAGTAGGTCAGAAGATGGGATATCACAGAAGTGCCTGTGTCTGAATCCAGGAAAGAGGAGGGTGGCTAGAGAGGGCTTCCTAACTCTTCTCCCTGGGGGATCCCTTCTCTTAACAGCTGCCATGCCCTTCCTGGCCCAGCCCTGGCCCAAATCTCTGTGTCCTTGAGCAAGGGGCCTCCCTGACTCTGAGCCTTAGTTTCCTCCTCTGAAAAAGCAGGGTGTAATCAGGACCTACCTCATAGGATTGTTGAGGATTAAGTAAACCAATACATGGACAGTGCTTAGCACCTTGTAAATGTTCCCTCCCTGTAACATAGAGCCAAACTGTGGTTAGGTGTCTGATTTGGAGAGGTTCACCTCCTGGAGGCCTCAGTTTGCCCATCTGTGAAAGGGGTCTAAGAATTGCACTGAACTCAATACCACAACTCAGGGTTGTGGTGCAGATTAAAAGAGATGGCATGTGTAATGTATATATACAGCTTGTGCCTGGTAATTGTCAGATCTGTCATCGTCTTCCTCTAGAGTCTGATCCTCTGACTACCCCGACCCCCAGACTGCTAACAAGTTAGGAAGGAGTCAGGAGTGATGCTGGAGAATTTAATTTCTAATTGATGACCTCCAGGATTGCCCCCCCCCCATCCCAGATGGGGGCCAATAGGGCTTTGCTGATTGTCACAGTTGAGGTGCCGGGACTCAGTTTGGGGGACCCCAGATGGCCACCCCTGGCCAAGACAGTGGCAGGTGCGGATAAAGCTGGAGCAGCAGCAAGAGGGACACAGGTGGGTTTGCAGAAGATTGGGGCACAGTGGGGACTGCCTGGGCCCATCTGCCCATCCATCCTCAGGGCCCCAGGCCCCCTTCCTCTAGCCCCTGCCGGCCCTGGGGACTGGGAGACAGGCTATGAGGGGCTGGGGCTTCCCGATTAGGTCCCCAGGAACCGCCACCACCAGGGTCAACAGTCTCCAGGCGCAAGGCAGGCAGCAAGCCCAGGCTTCGAGGCACAGGTGGTGGGAAGGCCCAGGGACCAGGCAGCCCAGAGGGCCCCTCCTCACTACTGCCCCGGCTGCTACCATCATTGCCCCTGTCAGGGGCCATCCGAGGCAGGCGGCGGCTCTGGGGTGAGGGGCTGCGGCTGGCACCGCGGCGTTCACGGGATGAAGGCCGCAGGGCAAGGCCGGGGAAGCGGGCCAGGCCCGGGCTGCGGCTACGGTGTCTCTTGGACTTGCCAGGGCTGGGGCTGCGGGACTTGGGTGCAAGCAGCTCCAGGGTACTGTCATCCTCGTCCTCTGAGCTGGCACTTGAGCTATCTGTGCTGCTGCTGGCCAACTCCGAGGTAGGCAGCGAGATCTGGGAGGAAGGTTGGTTACTGGTTTGTCTCACTCCCCAACCAGCCACTCAAGGCATCTTGGAACCACTCCAACCCTAGCCATTGGCAGACCCAGGAAGGTTAGGCTACTTGTAGGAGATCATGGAGCAGAATGTGGAAGCTGGTGACATTTGAACAGGGGCTTTTAGTACCCCTGGTCCTGCAGTCTGACCTACTCACCTGGAAGGGCTCAGTGACACCGATGAGGATGCTGTGGGTGTGGCTATAATAGCCCAGTATGAAATCTCCATGGCCCTTGGGAAGTGACTCCTCACTGAAGGTCACCTGATGGGCCCAGGGCATAGGCCCAGGTTGGGGTCAGCCTCAAAGACTGACCAAGCCAAGTCCTGAGCCCAAGGGCCACAGGGACTTCCTCCCACTCTTCCCCTCCCCTTAAGTACCTGGTAGATGTTCCCATCCACATCCTCATGTTTGGCCCAGACATAAGCCACGTAGTCCTTACAGTGGCGGAAACCCACCTGGGGCGAGAGGAATCAGGGTTATGACTCCTATCACCTTACTCCAGTGGCCCCCCAGTGTAGCAACAAACTCTGGAGAAGCCAGTAATTCCCCCTAGGTACCCAGTTGCTCTTCCAGGCCCTCCCTTCCCTGAGTCACTGACCATCCCTGCCCTTCTCACCCGGTACAAGCCGATCCAGTCCCAAGAGCTGCGGGCGAACACTGTTTCTATGCGGTACCTCACCACAGCCTGCTCTGGCCGCACCCACTCATCTGCCACCTCCAGCCGCACTAGCGGCACGTCGTCCCTGTAGGCAAACTGCCCAGGGGCAGGGGGAACATCAGGGGAGACCCTCGAGTATCCTATGTACCTAGGGCCCTTGGGCCTGAGTCAGCAAAAATAGGCTGAGATAAAGGGTCTTTGAAACCACCTTACAGACTGGGAAACTGAGGCAAAACAGGTCTAGGATAGGGACGCCTGGGTGGCTCAGTCAGTTAAGCATCTGCCTCTTGATTTCGGCTTAGGTCATGATCTCATGGTTCATGGTTCAAGCCCTGCAGCGGGCTCTGTGCTGACAATGTGGAGTCTGTTTGGGATTCTCGGTCTCTTATTCTCTCTCTCTGCCCCTTCTCCCCGCCTCTCAAAATAAATAAACTTAAAAAAAAAAAAAAAAAAAAAAAAAAAAAAAAAAGAATAGGTCTAGGATAAATGCCGGGCTTTCTACCCTCCAGCCCAGGGCTCTTTATGCCCATAGCCTCGTAAGGGAGTAAGAATACAGCTTTGAAGTGAATAGTGTAGCCCTGTTTCTGTCATTGCTCTTTCTCTGTCCCTCAGGACTCAGATGGTGTGTCAGCCTCCAGCTTTTGTCTGCTCCCCTGTTTATGTGGTTTCAGGTTTCCCTCACTCCTCAGTTTTTGAGCCAGGCTGTTCCAGAAGAAACCAGCACATCTTCTCCCTGTCCCTAGGTTCCTAACAGAAGGTTTGCCTGGGGTGGCCTCTTAGAAACGCTCTCCAGGGCCTTGCAGGTCAAAACTCCCACTAAGCCCCGTTCTGATTGTGTTGCTTTGGATGAGAGACTTAAGTTCTCTGAGCCTCATTTTCCTCACCAGTAAAACTAGGAGGAGAATTTTGATATCTCAGGGCCTACTAAGGCATTCAAAGGGATGACAAAGCCACAGGGACTAGCATGTATTAGGTGCTCGACAGGTAACATTCTGCAAGGGTCAGAGTCCTTGATGAGGAGGGGAGGTCAGGGTACCCAAAAGGAGTGGCACTCAAAAGTCACCCAGAAGGAGTGGTTCTGGAGGTGAGGCTCCTGACTGAAGGTTAAACTTCATACCCAAGTCTCTTACCAAAGATTATGGGAGGCCAGATGTGGGCAGATTTGCATTCCCAGCTGAGGATACTGGCCAATGGCCCACTGACTGACCACATGACAAAGTTACCAGGGAAAACATTCTCTGGTCTGCAGGGTTCCCTCTTATCAGATCAAGGGAATCGGAGAGCCCAGAGTTGGGTTTCAGGACTGGACAGGCGGGATCTACCCTCCTCTGCTGCTGAGAGTATGTGCAGCTTGGGGTACATGCCTACCCCACTGGAAGGCCTCAGTTTCCCCCATAGAAAAACAGAGTGTTGGACTACATGGTCTCTCAGGTCCCATTCTGACATTCTAGCATTTCTCCTTTTTACTTTGCCAACCAGAGACCTCAACCCTAAACACAATGTTAAATTATAGTAACTAGAATTTAGCTTTGTATTTTTCATGTCTCTACTCCTCCTCCCCATTACTACCTCACTTATAGCACCTGGCACATAGTAAAATGATAAACAAATAATGAATAAATATGAATAAAAACTATATGGAGTCTGAATGAACATTTTGATTTTGCTGGTCTTATTATATGAATATATAAAGCGAATTTTAGCATAAATTGCCCTAATCCTTTCTCAGAACAGAGTTAGGGATTAGTGGAAAAGGCATAGACTCTGAAATTAGGCTAGCTTGGGTTCAAATCCTAATTCTTCTGTTTATCAGCTGTGTGACCCTGGTATGATGCTGTGTCTCTGAGCCTCAGTTTCCTCATCTGAAAATGGAGATCATAACCCACTCCCACTCTGCTATGATGAATGGATGCTGCTGAAGGCAGGTGCAAGGGATTACTGGTGGGCCATGGGGATGTCCCCATGAAGGGATGCTGAGCTGGACCTGGGGATGTCATGAGGGGAACATGAAGCCAGGACTCACCTGCAGGATGAACTGAGCAGCCACGGGCTTGTGATCGCTGACTGTGTATTCCATGTGGCTACGGTAGCTATACTGGGTCACCTTGAGCCGGTGGCTTTCCCGTCCTGAAGGGCTGGGACCCACACTTGGAGCCTTGACCTTCCACAGGATACGGTCTGTCCAGGCTGGCTTCCGCTTCTTGGCACTGCAGTGAGCAGGGGTGACCCAAGTTTCAGGGGATAGGGTTTGAGGCACAGCCCCCAGCCTTACTTCTTGCCCCACTTTCTTCCCTATCCAGACGACTTCAGCCCACGTGTCCACCTCGTCCCAGTGCTGAGCTCACCTGGTATCATATTTGTTAGTACCCACATCAAACTTGAAGGTGGGTGCAAAGTTGAGGGGCCCCTCCTGGAAGCCCTTCAGGATGGGCCAGGTGTTCTTGGCCATGTTGAGCTGTGAAGGTCCAAAAGGGCAGAATTGGACAACAGCTTGGACAGGGCAGGTGAAGGCAAGGGCAAGAGCTGAGGATACAAAAGTGTGTCCAGTC